AATATGACGCAAACCTGCAATAATTAAATGTTAAACAACACAAATATGCTTTATGTATTTAATCCCATTCTATTAGCTTCTGACCTTCGATGATCCGGTTCAAGCGTACTAATAAGCACAAATTACTCCAGACAAACATTTCTGTGTCTTTGTTTATTGCTGAAGTGTTGAAATGTCTTCTTCTGTATTCTACTGTACTTTCCCTTCAGCCTGAGGTGCATTCATTTCACTTTTGGTGTGCAAGGGATTTTATATTTGCCAAAAATAGAACTTTTTTATTTTAAAAACAAACAAGCAAGCCCTGTCCAGATTAAAAAAGTAACGCAAAAGTAACGTAACGCATTACTTTCCATAAAAAGAAACTAAGTACCGTAATTAGTTACTTTTTTATGGAGTAACGCAATATTGTAATGCATTGCAACTTTCCCCAACACTGCATTAACTATCAACATGCTCAACTAACCACAAACAAACACTATGTTTAACACTTTTATGCATTGTTTTATGATGTATAAAATCAATCTATGCAATGACACACAAGTTCTTGGTGCTACTTTAGTTAGTGAGTTCTTCGTTTTAAAGCACAGACTCACCGTTTCGTGTAAGGCAGCAGGCTCTGCTGCACTTTAAGGCAGACTCCTCCTGGTAAAGCTTCAGGATGCGTGCTCCTCTGCGCTGAGATTCCTCGATGTCCACATACAGCCCCGGATATCTGCGGATCCAGCAGCTCTTATAGTAAGATGTCGGAGAGCAGCTGGAGTCCGAGGAGCAGATCAAACCCAGAATCCACAGCAAACTCCATGGGACGGTCATTGCGCGATCAGTGCGTCCTATCATGTTGTTTTGAGGCGCTCGTGCTGTTTCTGGCGCAGGTAACAGGTGTGTGGCGATGATGCGCGAGCGAGAGCTCGGCAGGGTTTGGAGCACATCCTCTGCCTTCTTTCATTTATTCATTCACAAATAAATAAATGTAACTGCTCAAATAGCGATTTTCTAAACACATTTATTTGCCGTTCTTTTCACGCTATAACTATTATCTGCAAATTCAATAGCTTTTTTGTATAACCCTGCTGAAAAAAAAAACAATAGAAACTATCACAGAAATTCTAATGGTTTCCACAACAAAATCCATTACAAATCATCAACTATTTAACCATCAAAACCATTAAAAAG